GGGGGGCGGGGCCGGGGATCACCCTCCCCATCCCCGATCCCCGATGGCAGGGCCCGTCCCCGTCCCCGTCCCCGTCCCCATCCCCATCCCAATTTGTCCCCGAAATGAAATTACTATAATATAATTTATCTATATATATATATATATATATGATCCTTGTGTTCACTATTATTGTTTGCATTTGCAATTGATTTGACTATCTTATGAGATAATTAATACATGTTTGTGTGAAAGATAGTAGTTTGACTTTAACTTGTATTATATTAGGAAAAATGTTATTCATTTAAAATAAATTTTGAAAATTTTTATTAAATTTCTTACATGGACGTGAGATTTATACAAATTCACATGTGTTTGAATTTTATATCTATGTGAGAAATTTGATAGAAAATTTAAAGTTTTGTTTAGATGCGTTTTCAAATTATATTTCTATCCTACCACTCCCACTTTAAGTCTGGATATGACTTTCAAAATAGAATTTTATCATATATCATTCAAAATATAATTTGAAAACTCATTTGGCAGCATTGTTTTACATTTTTCTATTTTCAACATCTTCAGCCTTCTTTCTCTTTCTTTTTGAAAAACTTTCATGTTCGTCATCTGTAAGAAGTTTCACGTGCAAAAAGAAATATGTAGGTGAACTGATCTATTCGTCTTTCTCTCTTTCAAAGATCAGGACTGAATATTCGTCACGGGTAGTGTTCTTAGAGAACTTAGAGTATATTATAAATTATATTTGTGAACTCGCTCCCTACTCATGCCATCTCTCACAAATCAAGTGAGTTACAATTTATGCGTTGTGGAAGATTTATTTTACGGGCAACCAAACAACGATGACACCGAGGTTAATAAATCACAAATTTATTTTAAATGTTTTTTTACAGGTCACTAATTTTCTGAATCATTCCTAATTTTATTCTCAATTTTTTTTCTCAGGTCAAATTTATCAAACTTATTGTCGAATCAGACGATTATCAAAGAGTTGCACATTCAGTCACTGTACTCACTCCATCACCGGTGATAATTATTCAACTCTCACTAATTTGGTACGTATATCTTTCAATCATTTATTTTGTACAAATGAGTTTTGAAATGGTTTTTGAGAAGTCCAAAAGAGTATAGAGATAGTTTCTGATCTGTTTGAACTTTTTAAACGGTTGAAGCTGAACTGGTCGTCCCCCGGGTTATTTGGCCTGTCGTTCCTCGGGTTATCCACCTGGTCGACCTCCCTGTTTATCCTTTTCTTCTGCTCTTCTTCTTTTGTTTATTTGTGGTTATTTTTTTACTGTGTAAACTTACTTCACAAATTTTTTATAGACAATGTTATGTGATTTTTATTGTCTTTGTTTTGGCTTTTAAATCATCTGCCTTTCCTACAGTTGTAATAAACATTAATGTTATGTGATTTTTATTTTGTCTCTATGTTGTCTTTCAAATCATTTGCTTCTCCTAACATTATTTAACAAGTTGAAGTAAACTTTAATGTTATGTGGTTTTATTTTTTCTCTATGTTGCCCTTCAAACCATCTACTTTTTATAACATTATTTACCAAGTTCAAATAAATATTAATTTTGCTTTGTACATAAATAATTATAATTGGTTTTTGCTCTGTTATTTTTTTTATATCCACTCCAGAGTGTTTAAATATAAATTGTATGTTTATAGATGGATGGAAACAATTCAAATGACAATCAGGATACAAAAATGTGGACTCCCAGAATTGAAATGAAATTAGTAAACATGTTGAGAGAAGAGGTTAAAAAAAATCAAATAACAGGCTGTACTACTGTGTAGACAATTAGGCTTGGAATCATTTTGCAAATCAATTGCACAATTTGTATAGATTTCGGTATACAGCAAAGCAGGTGCAACAAAATACTAGCGATTGAAAGCTGATTACCAGACGTTTAAGCGATTGCAGGCACAGACTGGTCTGGGATGGGATATCATTGTAGGAATTGTTATTGCACCTAGGGGTGAGCAGCGGATATATTGATCCGCCTAAATCGATTGAACCAATTTGATCTGTTGCATTTTGGATGGATGCGTGATGACGAGCGGATGGTTGCAGATTGATTTTTTTCAATCCGCCTAGTTTTGGACGGATGACGGATTTGAGGTTCCTTTAGTTGCAACCGAACTGCCAAGCTACGAGCACCATTAGTAATTTGTAAAATTTTATATTTTTAATTTGTTTAGATATTCTATTTGTGTTTTCAATTGAAAAAAAATTTAAATATTCTATTGAAAAAAATAAGTGTATTATTTATCTATATATTTTGATTTTTAAATCTAACTCTAAAAATAATAAATAAAAAAAATGATATATGTTGGTTTTTGTTTTTTAAAAACAAATATAGGTGTAACAATACAGAGGGATACATGCAGTGATTGTAATATTTTTTTAAGTCTTTAACTGTAATTTTTTTTTAAGAAGTGTAAAAGTTGAATTATGTCAAGTTTATAAAATTTTAAACCGTCAAATCGATTTGCATCCATCAGCTAATCTGTCAATTCGCTCAATTCACATCCGCTAGATTGACGGACGGATGCGGATTGATTTTCTCCAATCCGTCAATCTAGCGGACGGATGCGGATTGATTTTCTCCAATCCGCCAATCTAGCGGACGAATAGTGGATTGCGGATTGATTTTCTTCAATCTGCCAATCTAGCGGACGGATAGTGGCCGCAATCGATCCGTGTCCACCCCTAGTTGCACATGATGAATTTTGGGATAAGATTTTTCATTAACCTGTATTATTTTCAATTTTTTTTTGGTAACATTTCATCACATATACAGTATGCTTATTTTTAATATTTTCAATTGCTGTAGGCTACAAAAAATGTAAAGAAGTTTAGGACAAAATGATTTGAGTATTTTAAAAAAATGACAGAAATTGTTGAAAATTGTTGTGCTACAGGGGGTCTTATCCTGTGCATCCACACAAGGAACCCTTGACTCTGGTGAAGAAGATGAAATGTTTAATAAATTTTGGAGTCCTGAAGCGGCTAAGAGTAATGCTGCTGAAGTCATTCCTGTTGATTTATTCGGCGATGAGTACATGAATCCAACGAAGGGCAAAAGTCACAAGAAGGGCCTTATAAGCAGTCAGATTGACAGTGGTCGTTCCAAAAAGTCACGGTCAAGTGAGTTTGATGATGTGTGCGCAGCTTTCACATTCTACGTAAGGCAAAAACATAACATTCACATGCATGATCAAATGACACAGAGACTGTAAGTGCAGGTAGTGATGAGTATTCCCTTGATACATGTTAAGATGCATTGTTAGAGCATGGGGACATACCACTGGTGCAGTACATTAGGGCACTGACATTGTTTAAAGACAAGGAATGACGAAAGTTTTTTATGCGTACTCCTACCCATATGCGCCTAGCTATGATCCTAGTTTTGCAATGAAGTGAGAATTTGTGTTTTGATTGAGTTAGCAATTCTCATTGTTGTTTTGCAAGATGATTTGATGTTTTACATCAATATGTTGTGTTATAAACAAGATGACTACATATTAAACAAATTTTCTTCTTGTATATATTTTAGTAGAAACTGGTAAATGACTAATGCTGACTATTCATGTAGTCACTTTTTAATTTAGTTTCATCAATAATGGTAAGCGTTAGTATGTCGTTAAATATATTATTTTATAATTAAGCTTTTACTGTGATGTAGATGAAACAATATGTCATTTGACATAGAAAACAATGCAATAGAGATCTCATCAGAGGAGGTTGAGGTTATTGAAGATTTTATGAATTTTTTGATGATTGCTTTTATGCATGACCATATCAACGCGTCAAGTAGTCGGCAACCGCAGCGAACTTGTCCATTCAAAGGTGATGATTACATCTTCAGCTTATTAAATGGCCAAACAATGATGAACATTATGCGAATGGATGTACAAACGTTCATTGTATTGAAAGACACCTTACTCTAAAATGGCTTTATCGATACTGAACATATGCATATCAGTATCTAGGAATCGCTCGGAATTTTTTTATACACTTTCGTACAAAATCATTGCCATCGACTACTGGCAGATAGGTTTCAACACTCTACGGAAATAATTTGTCGGTACATTAAAATTGTTATGCGGGCATTGTGGAAGCTTGCATCAATGGTTATCAAACCACGTAACCAAGATGAGATACCGGCAAAAATTTTAAATGATAGGAGATTTTTTTCCTGGTTCAAGGTATGAATTTAATGATTGTCTTGTAAGTTTTTAATAACAATAAGGGACGATATTTTTTTTTTCCTCCTGTTATAAAAGCAATATTCAAGTTTGTTTTGCTTTTAATGTCAAACAAATATCTTTCAATTAGGATTGTGTTGATACTATTGATGGCACATTGGTGGATGCATGGGTCCCTACTTCAAGACAAAATACATTTCGCGGTCACAAATCTACGGTATCGCAAAATGTACTCGCAACTTGCGACTTCGACATGTTCACATTTATTAATTTTGGATGGGAAGGTAGCGCTTATGACAATGCTATTTTAGTTGACTCTATTACAGGAGCTGCTCTATAGTTCCCACACCCATCCAATGGTGAGTGTCACAAAATAACATATGGTACATATTTTGAAAATATGTTTTTGTACATCTGTTTGATAGAATAGTGCATTTATTATTTACATGTAGGCAAATATTATTTAGTAGATGCTGGTTTCACGAACATGCCTGGATTTCTTGTCCTATTTCGTTCCCAACGCTATCACTTGCAAGAGTTTTATGACCGTTATTATTCAAGACTCAAGGAATTGTTTAACCATTGACATTTGTCGTTACGCAATGTCTTAGAAAGAACATTTGGTATTCTGAAGCGATTTTCAATATTACGGCCCATGTCAAATTACAAATCTACAAGACAAGGCCCTCTCGTGATTGCATGTTGTGTATTGCACAATTAAATCCGTTTGCATGCAGATATGGACCCATTCTTCATGGAAGCTGATAATGAAATGGCGGCAGAAGCGGAAGCAGACGGGTTTGTTGGAGACCATGCTGACTATGTTGACATGTCACAACATGGGTTGACGTACCAATCTAACTTTAGGGATGCAATTGCTTCTGCTATGTGGCAAAATCATGTTGGCCATGGATAGATTTGTGATGTGAACAAGGCAAGTGAATATCGTAGTCACTAATGGTTTTAAATGTATAATTATTTTACTAGTTTCAATATTATAGCAACTTTATTACATAACTTCACCCACTTAACGTAACTGTGAATTTAATGATTTTTTTTCTTTCTTTGTAAGATAATTAACAATGAGGACAACGATTGGACTACATGGCAATTAAAGGAAAAGGAACACAAAAATCATCACATGGTTAATCAACAAAATGTTATTACGCTAATGAAGGCACTTAAATATGTTGATGCAATGTATAATATGCAGGGTCAAACACTTTATTGAATTTGATGGTTGAATGATGCATGCAAAAATTATAGTTTATGATATTCATTCAGTTTATGCTGTTCATTAACTTTTTATTAAGAAAAAATGTTGGCCATGGATAGATTTGTTATTAATTTTAATTTTTTTATTAATTTGTAGACGACATTTTTTTATTACTTTATTTTTTTCATTTTATTGAAATTTTGGCTTTGTTATTAATTTAAATGTCTTTTTATTAATTGTTTTTTTTTTGTTTGTTCATGTTATTAACATAATGGTTTTGTTAGTAATTTTTATAGCAAACAAGTTTTTATTATTTTTTTTTTTCGTTTTTATTAAAGAAAATATATAATTATTAATTTTTAACTTTTTTTATTTCATTTTAGCCGATTTTTTTTTTAATTTGTTTTTTTCATTTTATTAAAATAATAATTTTGTTATTAATTTAAATTTTTGTATTAATTTGTAGATGAAATATTTTTATTAATTTATTTTTCTCATTTTAAAACAATTTGAATGTTTTGTTATTAATTTTAATTTCTTTTTATTAATTTTTTTTGTTCATGTTAACATAATGGTATTAATTTTTTTTGTTCATGTTAACATAATGGTTTTGTTATTTTCAGATATTATACTAAACAAGTTTTTATTAATTTTTTTTCCTTTTCATTAAAGAAAATGTATAATTACTAATTTTTAACTTTTTTTTATTTCATTTGAGCCGATTTTTTTTTTAATTTGTTTTTTTCATTTTATTAAAATAAATGGTTTTGTTATTAATTTAAATTTTTTTATTAATTCGTAGACTTTTTTTTATTTTTAATTTTAATTTTAATTTTTTCATTTTATTGAAATGAAGGCTTTGTTATTAATTTTTGTACGATTTTTTTTTAATTTCATAATATAACTCACAAATTGTTATAATATTGTCACTGGTTAATTTTACAGTGCAGAAAAAAAAATACTATTCATTACTTAAATACAAAAGATTACAACAAAATAACAAAATAAAATAATCACAACAAAATGAGAAAACAAAATAACCACAACAAAATAAGAAAACAAAATGTAACCATATCATGTGTGAACTATTTAAATGCTCATCAAAACAAGTTAAGCATCATTGTCAGATGGTGGTGGAGGTTGAGGGAAGTAGTGATGGTACACCTGAGTGACTCGATAGTCAATTTGATCAATGCGGTTCCTTGTCACTTCATCACGTCTCCCTAAGTCTATAGGAACTCACCAAATTGTTGAATTAGTGAGTTCTGAGCGACGACAAATTCATCGAACCGAGTACCCAATGTATTGACCTGATTAGCCACTTGTTGTTCCCATTGTAGGCGCTGATTGTACCGTTCTTGTTCCAACGCTAAATAATCAGTCCAGTATGGAGGTTGTTCATTTGGTGGCATGGCATTGTCATTTGGTTCTTCCTCATCAGGTATTGGTTCATTCTCAAAATTAATAGAGCCCAGTAAGTTTTCAGCACCACCAGCTCGGGTCAATGTGTACTCAGAAATTGGTGAAGTGATTCTCATATCTACTTCACTTTCAAGGTTAACATGATGCGCTATGAAAATTTTGGTTAACAAAGCTCCGAAAGGTAGTAACCGACCACTAAGAGTACCAAGATTTGCAACCATCATTTCTTTCAGTAACTTGTAGCATAAATCTAATATTTGTCCAATTTCAAAACAATATAACAAATAAACATTAAAACATGGAACAACATTAAAATATCTTTTTTTGGGAGTGATATTTTCAACTATCCATCGATGGAGAATACGAAGGTGGGATTTTAAATGTCTTGCTTGTAAATTAGTGTCAGTAAATCGATTCTCACAAATTGTGGTATAAACCTCAGTTAGATCACCAACAATGTTAGCTAACTAAGCCTTTGTTTGAAAATGGCATTGCAAATCTCTTGTTTCAACTCCAATAATTTGTGCGAAAGTGTGGGGGTTGAGTGTGATTACTTTCCCTTTCACATAAGAGGTCAGACTACACTGTTCCACTTCTCTCTCAGTAGATCTTAAGTGAAGGTAAAATAAATATATAAGACGGGATATACCTTATGTTGTAAATTAGTTAAAGGTAACCATCCCATTGTATCCAGTCTGCTAAGCAACAATGGATCATATTGAGAAGGTAGATTTACCTTTGTCCCTGTAACAATTGGTCGATTAGCAAAATTTGAATAAGCCTGTTCGTGATTATATGTGAGAAAATCAACAGTTGGATAGCGATAATGTTGTTGCTGTGGTTGACGTTGTATAGGGTTAGAGGTTTCGCCACGTTCGGGTCTCACCCTTTTTGTTCTCGGCATGATGACTGCAAAAGTTAAGAAAAATGGATGAAAAATGTATGAAACATGTATAGAAAAATGTATGATGTTGGTGTGAAAAAAAAAGGAACAGATAGGCAAACTGAGCATCTGCTAAAAGGCAACTAACAGATAGCGAAACTGAGCGCAGAAGGCAAACTGGTGGCTGAAATCGGATGATTGGCCGGTTGTTCCGTATGGTGGATTCTTCACCTTCCTGCAACTCAGCTCTAAAGCTATCAAGAATATGAACTGTGGTTCAAACTAACCTTTTCTCTCTTCCTTCACACGGATATCTACACTGAATGTAGCCAATATTGTAGGGTGAAGGAGTTGCTGAAGTTGTTGGAATGAGATGGTGAAGATGGTATGGTTAAACGAATGCAAAGATACTGACTTATATAAAGGCTCAGGTCCAGAAGGTTTTTTTTTTCCTTATTTGCTTTTCATTTCTTTAGTATACTGATCATTTTTTTTTCTTACTTATTTTTAATTTCTGCCGTATACTGATTACCGACTATCTGTGCAGGTTTTTGGCTTCTTTTTTTTTTCTCTTTATCGCACAGTGATGAACTGACACCCAGCATAGGAGGGGGTGGGTATATTGGATGAGTGAAATTACACTATTACCCTTTTTATTTTATTCTTACATAACAACCTGCCATTCTATGAAAGATGGGTGAATTGGTTATTTTGTACACAAATATCACTCTGCCCCCCAATTGTATGAGCTTCACGGGTGGGCTTCTTTTTTTTTTTTTTTCTCTTTATCGCACAGTGATGAACTGACACCCAGCATAGGAGGGGGTGGGTATATTGGATGAGTGAAATTACACTATTACCCTTTTTATTTTATTCT